TCCATCAGGGCCAAGAGACTTATCTACTTTAAGCCCCATTATCTTACTCAACATTACCTCTTTAGTGATAATGGTTATTTCTAGGTCCTCACCTGCCATAGCCTCCTTGTCATCAATTATTGGCACATTATTTATGTCTTCCACTGTGACGACTAACACAAAATACCTGTTCCATACCTTAGCCACTTTCTTATTTCCCAATAGTAAAGCCCCCTTCTCATCCTCTAACGACTGATGTTTACCTCAGCCATTCTTTCTCGTATTATATATTTGTAGAAACTTTTGCTATCTGTTTTATATTCTGAGCTAGTTTACTCTCATAATCCATCTTACTTTTCTTTATAGCATTTTTCATGGCTTTCTGTTGACCACTAAAGATCTCCCAATCCCTTAGTTTTTCACTAATCTTTGCCACTGTGTATGCATTTGCTTTCAATTTGATACATTCCTTTATTTCCTTACTTATCCACGGCTGATTATTCTTCTTCTTACAGTCCCTCCTTTTCGTTGGTATATACCTTTGCTAAGCACTGTAAAAACCCACTTTGAAAGTCCTCCACCATTCCACCATATAGCCTTTGCTTCTAATCTACCTTAGTCAACTCCTCCCTCATCCCATTGTAATCTCCTTTGTTTAGTACAAGACACTGTTACGGATTTTACTTTCTCACCCTCCATCTATATGTTAAATTCAACTGTACTGTGATTGCTCTTTCCAAGAGGATCCCTAACTATGAGATAATCAATTATTCATGTCTCATTACACAGGACTAGATCTAGGATAGCGTACTCTCTCGTGAGTTCCATTACATACTGTTCGAAGAAACAATCGCAGATGCATTCTATGAACTCCTCATCAAGGCTGCCTTGATCAACTTGGTTTGACCAATCCATAGAATCCCTCGAGTGTGGAAACAGGCCATTTGGCCCAACAAGTCCACAATGACCCTCCGAAGAGCATCCCATCCAGACCCACCCCCTTACCTTCTGCCTGTAACCTTGCATTTCCAATGTCTAACGCATCTAACCTACACATCCCTGAACACTGGGTAATTTAACGTGGCCAATCAACCTAACCTGCACATCTTTGGACTGTGGGAGGAAACTGGAGCACCTGGAGGAAACCCATGCAGACATGGGGAGAATGTGCAAAATCCACACAGACAGTCGCCCGAGGGTGGAATCGAACTCAGGTCCCTGGCACTGAGCCACCATGCTGCCCACAGTCAGGATGTAGATTAAAATCCCCCATGACAATTGCCGTACCATTTTTACATGCAGCATTTATTTCTTTGTTTATTGCCCACCATGATGTTGTTACTTGGTGACCTGTAAACCATGCCTATCAGTGAATATTTCCCGTTACTATTTCTAATTTCCATCCATATTGAATCAACCTTTTTCTCTACAGAGCCCATTTCATCTCTCACTGCCAGCCTAATGTCATCCTTAAATATTAGACTTAAACCACCTCCACTTCCTTCCTGTCTATCCTTCCAAATAGTCTGATATGCCTGGATATTTAACTCCCAATTGTGACCATCCTGCAATCATGTCTCCGTAATGGCCACTGAATCACACACATTCATGATGATTTGTGCTGTCAACTCATTTGCCTTGTTTCGAATGCTGTGAGCATTCAGGTAGAGTGACCTTATGCTAGTTTTAATATCTTCTTTCTGAATCCTAACACCTCCACCAGAAGAACTATTGTTTTCAAACATTCTCATGTTTTCTGTCACTGCTGCTTCTTTCTTTTTATTTCCTATCTTGATTCTCTTTTTCTTTAAACCCTCACCCACTGTAGCTAACTCAGAGCATCCCCTTTGGTGCCCAGCCCCCTGCCAAACTAGTTTAAAGTCCACCCAACAGAACTTGCAAAACCACCTGCAAGAACATAGACTAATATCGTTGTAAAGATGTGCTCGCAGGATTACAAGAACATGTACATTAATAGCTGTTACTAACATACAAGTGCACACAATTGCAATTCACATGTACGGACAAAGAAACACTTGGACTGGATTTAATAGTGACCTATCAATGGATTTGGAGGTGGGGGCACATCAGTTCCATTGCAGTGGACCAACTGGTGTGAATTCACAGAACATTAGTGGCACAGTTAAGGACCTCATGCCATCATTGCCAGGACTAAATGGACAGTGGAAGAAACTGTAACAAGGGTGCAGGCCTGCAGCTTCCTTGTCTAGCTGATTATGGATTCAGGAGAGGGGTAGTGCAAAACTAATCTATTGGATTCCACCTCCCCCGCCCCAAACTCCATGGTTTTCCTCCAACCAGGCTGCTCCCTTCCCCTGCTCCCATGACCTATCACAGTCGAACTCCCCCACTCACCATCTCCCTTCCCATTTGCTGGGGGCTGCTGGTTTGTCACCTGGCAAGATCTACCCAAATGATCAATGTCACATTTCCAAAGTGCTGGACAGCTGCAGCCTCTCATTAGAAGACTATTGTCGGGGGCAGGAATTCCTGATCCAAGTGGACGCAATGCCTGATGTCCCACTCCAGTAAATAGCTGAAGGGCTTCTCCCCCAGCCCAAGGGGAAGTTCAGGACAAGGAATTTAACGCCTTATGCAATGGATACAAATATACACACATACACACTCACATATATTCAAAACACAGACCCACTCACAAACATATATACATATATATATATATATATATATACAACGCATATATTGATTCACACACATAAACACACACACAAATGTAAATGCATATAGACACAATCTCACATACATACATACACACACATGAAGATACACGTGTGTACACACATATTCATAGACAAATACACTCAGATATAACAGACAGAATTGCTTCCAAACTCATGCACATTCAAGGACATCACTATTAACACACAGTTTCAAAAAGAAACTTGTGATTCACATTTTCAAACACAGACCTGCAGGCACAAGGTGTAAATTTAATGTCTTCCTTGAATTGAGTTTGATAACATAAGGAGATTTATTTGGGCAGAGGGTGAGGAATGTGTGACACGCCACTTTCAAATCTCTGCCTCGATTAGGTCCAGGATGGGAAAGCTCCATCTCACCCCTAAACTAGGGCCTGCAGACTACACATATAAGGGCGTCACCTCACTGTTGCTGGTATTCACCCATGTAGGAGGAGGTAAGCTGCTGAGAGCCACCCCATTCTTGCTGCCAAACTGTTGCTGCCAAACTCTTGCCCATCTCTTTCATTCGCGAGTAGGCCAACCTTCCCCATCATTCATCAACAATCCTGGGCACTGAATGGGTGTATTACCAGCAGCAGCCACTGCTCTTTCAGTGGGGCTGCCAAGCAGTGCAATGCTGCCAGCCTCCAATTGGCCAGCAGCTCCCATGTTGGGTATTTCCGCCCTCAGGATCGTTGATTCCATGGAAGACTCACTGCTGCCCCCTTAATTGCCTGATTGGTACTTAGTAGATGTCACAGGGCTCTTGCCAGCTCTTCAGCCATTGTGTGAGACATACACATAGAGACCATACTTCCAAATGCATATGTGCACAAATCATTACCAAAGCAAATGTACAGGGACCAAACAAACAATTACAAATACATGTGCATCTAACTAATTTATGCACATGCTCACACAATCTGAAACATATATACACACATGATCATGTATGGTTTAAAATATACACGTACACACATGCCTAGACACGTACAGCCATGTGTACACATGGCTTTAAACACACAAACAATTATGCATATATTGGTAGACATATAAACACACAAAGACATCTTCCATTTACACACCTCATTTAACTAAGAATATCAGGTTACTTCACTGGGCTATTATTGCAGAGAAATAAAAACCAAAAGAACTGCAGATGTTGTGAATCAGAAACAAAAACAAAGTTGCTGGAAAAGCTCAGCAGGTCTGGCAGCATCTATGAAGGGAAAAACAGAGTTAACATTTCGGGTCCGGTGACTCTTCCTCAGGGACTCTCTGAGGAAGAGTCACTGGACCTGAAATGTTAACTCTGTTTTTAACTTCACAGATGCTGCCAGACCTGCTGTGCTTTTCCAGAAACTTTGTTTTTATTACAGAGAAATATTCTGGCACATGAACAAAACTTTGAACAAACATCCAGGCTTTAAGGTGCAATCTTAAAGAATGAGGAAGAGGTAAAAATGTGGTGATAATAAGGAGATTTTCTAAAGATTGGGGCCTAGGCAACTGAAGATAAGCCTTCAATAATGAAGTGATTTAAATCAGAAAGACAGAACTGGAGAGATCATGGAGACTGGATGGCTGGATGAGGTGACAGATAGAGGGAGCAGTGTGACACAAAGAGGTAAGCTGCTGAGAGCCACCCCACTCTTGCTGCCAAACTCCTGCCCATTTCTTCCATTCCCAAGCAGGCCCGCCTTCCCCATCATTCATCAACAATCCTGGGCATTGAGTGGATGCATTACCAGCTGGAACGGGTGTTGGTATTGTACTGGACCAGATAGCTAGTAAACTGAGAATCAGTATTCATTCTTTTAAATCCGTAAATAAAAAGCTTTTCTCAGTTCAAGTGAGCATGAAGCTGTCAGATCGTCAAAAAAAAACTCATCTGGTTCACTGATGTCCTTTTTGGAGGGAAATCCGCCATCCTTACCTGGTCTGGGTTCCTTGTGACTCCAGACCAGAGCAGTGTGGTTGAGTTCAAGTCACCCTTTGAAATGGCCTAGAGAGCCCTCAGTTGTATCTTGAAATGGTATTGGAAGTTCAAGATGGCTCATTACCACCATTATATTCTCAAATCCAATCGGGTTGGTTTAATAAATATTGGTGAGGCTTACGTCATGAAACGGATGAATGAATGGGTGGAAGTCAATCGGAGTTTTGGAATTCTTAGCAAGAGGTGGATTTTGCAGCAGGATGCAGGCAGGCCTGGACAAAACTTCTGGATTAGCAATTGATAACTCGAATGCAGAGTGGTTTGAGTTTGAATGGCAGAAAGATTAGGTGATCATTTACCTCATGGTGTACAAGAGGGTGCCGTTATCCACCAGCCTCAGCAGCTTGTTGGGAGTGGTCATGTTGTGTGCCACTGATTTCTTGCCATTGTGGAAGAAGGTGTCTGGAGTCCATATTTTGCTGGCCAGCAGGTTGTTCAGTGGCAATATGCGCATGGGCCCCTTAAATTTGAGCCTTTCATCCTTCCAGCTCTGTCGGAAGAATACATCAACGGTGTATTCCTGGATTTAGGAAGAAAAACATGGATGGTTAGGAGCTCTTAATGTGTCCCTGAGCTTGTACCTATCACCACTTCTCTGTTAGACCAACCTCTTTCCCAGTGCTGGAGAGCAAAAAATGAAGGCTGTTTAGATGCATCCTGGTGCAACTAAACCACCAGACCTGGACCGCAGGTTATAGTTCAGTTTCTAACATTCTAAAGAATAGAAACAGAAAGGTTTCAGCAAAAATAGGCCATTTGGCCCATTGTGGCTATACCAGCTCTGTAAGTGCAACTTAACATGTCCTATTCATCCTGTAGCCCGGCAAACATCTCTTTGGATAATTATCCATCTTCTTTTCAAAAGTTTTGATTGAATCTGCCTCCACCAAACTGTGTTTTCTGAATCTGAACCTCTAACTGTGAAGAAGGTTTTTCCTCATGTGTCCATTGCTTCTTTTGCCAATTGCCTTAATTCTTGCCCTCTTATTCTCAATCCTTCCACAATGGGAACAATTTCTCTCAATCCAATTTGACCACCCTCACAAGATTCCGAACACCTCAATCAATTCCCCTCTCAACCTTCCCCAGAAAACAGTCTCAATTTACCCAATCTTTCTACGGAACTAAAGTTTGCATCTTCAAAACCATGCCTGTGTTTCTTTTGTGCAATCTCTGTAATGTTTTCACATCTTTCCTAAAGTACCAATATCTGAACATAATCCTCCAACAGGGGCTAAAACAGTGTATCATGAAGTTTCATTATAACTTCCTCACTTTGACAGAGTGTGTCTTCCCACTTCCTCACTTTACAAAGCCTAAGATCCCAAATGTTTTACTCACTACTTTTTCAATCTGTCCCTTCACTTTTTAACCATTTATCCCAGAAAGCTGTTTGGACAAAGCTAGAAATCCTGGAAGTCCTGTAATCTTAAACAAAAACAGAAATTGCTGGAAAAACTCAGCAGGTCTGGTGGCATCTGTGGAGAGAGAAAAAGAGTTAATATTTTAAGTCTAGTGACACTTCTTAGAACTGCACTTATATATTCTTGTAAATAAGACCTGCTGTGTTTAAATTATGTTAAACTTCGTGCCATGTAAAAATTCTGGGAGCATCAGAAAGGGTCTCAAATATAGGGAAAGCATAGATTTACTCAGATGGCAACAGGGATGTGAGTGCGTAGAAATGAGGAGTGGTTTCAGTCATGAACAGAGAAGGCTAAGAGGAGATTTAATCAAGGTCTTTCAAACGACACTATTTTGAGTGTGTGACCAGTACTTTCTGATTGAGAACACTATGCTGAAGGCTATCACCTCACACAGTCATAGAGTCATAGAGTCATAGAGTCCTACAGCACAGAGACAGCCCCTTCGGCCCAAACTGGTCCATGCCGACCAAAATGTCCATCCACGCTAATCCCATTTCCCTGCACTTGGCCCGTATCCTTCTAAACCTTTCCTATCCATGTATTTGTCCAAATGCCTTTAAATGTTGTTAATGTACCCGCCTCAACCACATCCGCTGGCAACTTATTCCACATTCTTACCACTCTCTGTGTGAAGAAGTTGCCCCTCAGGTTCCCATACATTCTTTCCTTTCTTACCTTAAACTGATGCCGTCTAGTCTTCAATTCCCCAACCTTGGGAAAAAGACTGAGTGCATTCACCCTATCCATGCCTCTCATGATCTTACACACTTCTATAAGATCCCCCCTCAGTCTCCTATGCTCTAAAGAAAAAACTCTGAGCTTGTCCAACCTCTCCCGATAACTCAGTTGCTCAAGCGACTTGGCAACATCCTTGTAAATTTCTCCTGCACTCTTTCCAGTCTTATAACATCCTTCCTATAGCAAGGTGACCAAAACTGAACACAATACTCCAAGTGTGGCCTCACCAACGTCCTGTACAACTGCAACATAACTTCCCAACTTCTATGCTCAATGCTCTGGCTGATGAAGGCCAATGTGCCAAAAGTTCTCTTTACTGCCCTGTCTACCTGTGACTCCACTTTCAGAGAACCGTGCACCTGATCTCCAAGGTCCCTCTCTTCCACTAAACTCCTTAAGGCCCTACCATTCATCATGAAACTCCTACCTTGATTTGACTTTCCAGAATACAACACCTCATGCTTATCCATATTAAACTCCATTTGCCATTTTTCGGCCCACTTCCCCAGCTGATCAAGATCCTGCTGCAATTTCCGATAACCTTCCTCACTGTTCACAATACCGCCTATTTTAGTGTCATCCACAAACTTACTAAATCATGCCTTGCACATTCTCATCCAAATCATTGATATAGATAACAAACAGCAATGGGACCAGCACCAACCCCTGAGGCACACAGGCCTTCAATCTGACAAGCATCCTTCCGCTATTACTCTCTGCCTCCTACCATCAAGCCAATTGTGTATCCAATTTACCAGCTCTCTGTGGATTCCATGCAATCTAACCTTCCAGAGCAGCCTACCACAAGAAACCTTATCAAAGGCCTTACTGAAATCCATATAGACTACGTCTACCTCCCTGCCCTCATCAACTTTCCCGGTGACTTTGTCAAAGAACACTAACAAATTTGTGAGGCATGATCTCCATTGCACGTGCTGACTACCCCTAATCAAACCCTGTCATTCCAAACGCATGTATATCTTATCCCTCAGAATCTTCTCAAGAAACTTACCGACCAAAGATTTTAGGCCCACTGGTCTATAATTCCCAGGTTTTTCTTTGCAGCCTTTCTTGAATAAGGCACAACATTTGATACCCTCCAGTCTTCTGGGACCTCACCCGTGGCTAAAGATGATACAAATATATCAGCCAGAGCTCCCGCAATTTCTTCTCTAGCCTCTTGCAGGATTCTCGGATATATCTAGTCAGGACCAGGAGATTTATCCACCTTCATACATTCTATTACTTCCAACACCACCTCTACTGTGATATGTACTGTCCCCAAGATATCGCTACTAACTTCCCCAAGTCTTCATGACTTTCTATGGTAAACACAGCGGAACAATATTTATTGAGAACCTCACCTATCTCCTGCTGTTCCACACTTACATGTCCACTTTGATCCTTCAGGGGTCCTACTCTCTCTCTAGTTATTCTTTTTCCTTTAATATAATTAACAAATCTCTTGGGATTCATCCTAATCTTCTCAGCCAAAGCTATCTCATGTCCCTTTTCACCCTCCTCATTTCCTTCTTCAGTAAACTCCCATATCCCCTGCATACCTCCAGGGATTCCCTTGATCCCAGCTGCCTGTACCTGAGCCATGCCCCCTCTTTTTCTGGTCGAAGGCTCAATATCTCTTGTCATCCAGGGCTCCCTACTCCTTCCAACCTTGCCCTTCACCCTCACAGGAACATATAGATCTTGAACTCTAGCTATCACACTTTTCAAGGACTCCCACTTGCCAGAGGTCCCGCTGCCTGTAAACAAACTACTCCAATCAACCCTTGCAAGCTCCAGTCTAATTCCATCAAAATTCGCTAAGCCCCAATTTAGAACTTGAACCTGTGGATCAGTTTTGACCTCCTCCATAACTATTTTAAAATTATCATAGAATCCCTACAGTGTGGAAACAGGCCTTTTGGCCCAACATGTCCACACTGAACCTCAGCATCCCACCCAGACCCATTCCCCTATAACGTACCAAATCTACACATCCCTGAACACTACGGGCAATTTAGCATGGCCAATCCACCTAGCCTGCACATCTTTGGACTGTGGGAGGAAACCCGACCACCCGGAGGAAACCCACACAGACATGGGGAGAACATGCAAATTCCACACAGACAGTCGCCCGAGGATGGAATCGAACCCAGGTCCCTGGGCTGTGAGGCAGCAGTGCTAACCACTGAGCCACCGTGCTGCCCACGGTGCCACCATTTTCTGTGCCACAGAATTCCACAGGATCACCACTCTAGGTGAAGACACTTCTCATATCAGTTGTAAATGGCCTACCTCGTATCCTAAGATTGTGACTCCTGAGTCACAGTCTAAGGATATGAGGTAGCCATTTACAACTGACATGACCTGGACTGCCCAGTCATCCGGAAGTTTCTTCCAGTGTTTACTGTGTCTGGTCCTGTTTGAATTTTATAGGGTTTTATCAAATTCTGCTTATTCTTATCAATTCCAATAAATATAGTCCCAACCGATCCAGTCTTTCTCTCTCTCTCTCTCTGCAATGAGTCTGGTAAACCTTTGTTATACTCATAGCCAGAACATCCTACCTGAATTAAGTAGACCAAAACTGCAAACGGTATGGCATGTGTGGTCTCACCAAGGCCCTGCACAATTTCAAAAAGTCATCTCTAAATATCTGCTGGCTCTCCACAAGAGCAGTCACCTGGAACCACATCCTACTTTTTCACCTACAACGATGAAAATAGTCCCTCTTCAGATATTGATCCACATCATTTTGAAAGTCATTACTAAACCAGCTTCAATCATACTAATGCAGTACATTCCAGAGCCAAACCACACAATGTGTGAAGATGTTTTTCCTCATGTCACCATTGATTCTTTTGCCAATTACCTTAAATTTGTCTCCTTTGACTCTTGATCGTTCCACCAACAGGATCAATTTTTCCCCAACGCTCCTGTCCAGAGCCCTCAGTATTTTCAAAACATCTCGAATTTCTTCTCAACCTTCTCTTTCAGATCAATCAACATTATTGAATTTTCTCATTCCTGGGATTACTATTATGAACTTTTCTGCATCCTCTCTAATGCCTTCATATCCTTGCTAAATAAAGCATTGCACTGAAAACTAGTTGCAATACTCCAGCTGAGGTCAAATCAATGTGTTATACAAGCTTAACATAAGGTCCGTGCTTTTGTTTTCTATAACTATTAATGAAGCTTTAGGTTGCTATTAATCATTTCAATAATTTATGCACACATATACTGAGACTCTCTACTTATGCACTTTTTTTATAATTATCCCATTTATTTTATATTGTCTCTCTCTATTCTTCCTACCTAAACAAACCACTGTACATTTTCTTTGTATTTAATA